AAATGCCATATCCATCAATGGTCAGTCGTCACTGAAAGATGCTTGAGGACTGATTCACACAGGTTTCAACACCATTCAGTTCAATGCGTTTTTACGTCTGCAGTTACCGTGTGACAAGCATTTTCTTTTCAAAACAGTCAAGCATATGCACAAATATGCAGTCGCCTCAACCCAGAAGAAACTGTCTATGCTGTCACAAGGGGAAAACCATCATTTTACAGGTTTTCTGGCGTGAAGCCATTTCCTTAGCCGCCTACCTTCCATATGTCTGACTTCTATTTGGAACAAATGTCTGTCATAAAAGCCATTCGCCTCCAGGCCTCATTTATGAACAGAGACATTTTGGTCCGTAGGTGTCTGCTTTTTTTGAACCGTGCATTTAGAGACTGATTCAGGGGTTGCCCAATCACACATGTGTGCATAATATTAATTAAGCTTAAACCCAGTGTGTTCTTTGGAGAATTCTATGATGCCTGTACCAATAGACTGGGAAAGCTAATCTGCAAAGAAGTAGGTTAGCTAAACTCGTACCCAGTCGGCGCATGTCCATGTGATGTGAAATGCGAGACGGATGGGTGAGTCGCTCGATATCCTGTCCACTCAAGAGTTAATTGTCCTGGTGATCAGCCAGTAGCCGAATCGTATAGTGCTCAGCTACTGACAGGAAGGTCGTGCTCTTTATCGCCCTAAGGTTCGCACTGCTAGTTATAATTAACAGGGATCAAACCGCTGTAGTCTTTCCCAGTCTCTCTGAAATTTTGTCACACTGTTCCGAATATAACGATGCATTTGCAAACCTGCAGTAATATTGCCATAATGCTACTGTTTACTGGGATGATTCCGATGTGTATTTTGTATTTTTTATTGTGTTTTATGTGTTATATCTTATGTATTGCATTGTGTTATATTTTGTTGTGTAGTGGTGCTAAAGATTAGTTTCCTTACTATACGGAGAAAGACTGGAAAACAATCATAACTGGTAGTTATTGTGCACAAAAATGCATCTTATAGAACGCAGTAACAGTTTCTGTTAACACTTCTTCGAGAAGTCTCCCGAACTGCTTACCCTGTTTTTGTTCGTTTCATCCATCTTTGTAGGAATCAGCCAACATCTGAGAAAGAAAAAGCTGTAGAAGGGCAAGACAGTCGCACGCTGTCCCAATGCATATGAAGTTGATGTCTACCCTGAGACCTGTCCACGATGAATTATGTCTACAGCTGCGTCAGACAAATTCTGCTATGGGTAAAATCAAGGCTAAACTTCACTTTTTCGGAACTTGGATGGGCAATGTGGGTGGCAGTTTCTGTCTGTAGAGGGCAACGCATATTCACGGATGATTAAATGTGCCCGGATCAATTCGAGTGGGAAAGTAAGGCAATGTAACAAACGAAGATCTGGTTTCTAAATGCCTTGTTGTATCCCCCAAGCGAGATCTCACAATTTTCACTTGAGATTTTCTTCTAACAGGCACCTTAACCTACACAGTTTTTCCAAAAGAGAACAGCATTAAGCAAGAACAGGAAAACTTGAGAACCATCCCCACAATAAGTTACCTGCAACTATTTCGATTTGGGAACATCATAAACGAGAGATCCAGCTGTATCGAAATAGTGGTTAAACGGGTGACCTAAACCTTCCGCGTTAGTATTCTGATCCATTCTTCTAGAAGCCGATGGTCAGTTGCACGAAGCCTAGTAGCACACGGTATGAACGTAAGGAAACAACCACGTGGTTCTTTTGATGGCAGCGAAATCGCATTTCAACCATGGGTTGGCTTCGCTGATCGTCTAGCGATTCAGCTTCTCGGTTTGATTATCCGTCTTATCCTGTGTAACAACCAGTGAAGATGCTAAATTGCTTGATGTGGTCGTTCGATAGTAAAATATTAAAATAATGATAGATTTGATCTTTAGTAGCGAACGTCGATTGAGAATGCCTGTTATTTCAGAACAGTTCTACGATGGGCGTGGCAACGTTGATGAACCGGTTGGCTGACAAGAAACTGTTGGACAAGACAGCCGTGATACTTGTGGCAGCGCGCTGGTGTATCCTATTCTGACTTACTAATAGTCCATCAACACGTAAGGATTTTTAGTGTCCCTACTGAATTTTCTCGAGGACGAAAGCAATCAGACCATGAGTAGGGCACAATAGACGAGTGACTCCACGTCCCTGATCAGATAATAATATGCTCAGTTATGCTCCGAATGTACCCAAAGGAATAAGGCTATCTAAAAGGATCAGTTTATGATGTTGAGAGTGACCTTGAATATCATCCAAACACACAAGCGCTCTCCTATTAAGAGTGCGGTGGCCTATCGTAATGGAGGCATCACAATAAATAGAAGGCGTATTTGAGATCCGTGAATGTCTTCCTGTTAGATACTCAAGATGTGAACTAACGGGCGGTTCGACTCAGGAAGCTCCAGCGTCCGACAACCAAGTCACAGAACCATATTCAATACCGATTACATATGTATTTTTGTGACGTATCAGGGGGGTCTTCATTGAAAAAACTCCATTTGGACAGTTGCAAAACAATGTCACTTCTAAACGGATCGTTCGTTTTGTTGATTATCTGGGAGTACCGTATTCTGGAAGGGCTTTCAGAAACCCGTTCAGGTTTTATTTTCTACGTTATTTCTTGCTAATTGACCGAAAACCGAATACCTTTCCAAAAAGTGGATTAAAACCACGTGTAACTTGCTTCTGATAAGCCTTCTAACAATTCTAACAAGTTGTTCCCCGAAGATAGGTTTTCACCCACCCACGAAAAATCGATTGATGCAGCTTTTGGGTGCAATGAGAACGGAAAGTACATGATGGTCTAAGATTCGAACTACTACTACCCCGAAAAGGGACATACTTGATACTCCATTCAAAAACTTCCCTTTAACTTAGGTTATCTTCTGCGCGCAGATTAGCAGTTTCCCTCGATTCTTCCAACCCAGCTGCAAAGTAAAGCGATTGGTAACGAATCTACCAAGTGTCGTTCCGTTGATGATTACAAGCCATAAACAACCTTCTAGTCAAGCATTCGGAATCACTTAAAAGGTTCGCAAGAGGAGTAACATTATGTCGGCACGTAGGGGTCACAGAACCTGTCCGAATAATCGGGGCTGATTGGGTAGATGTGCTACTTGAATTGGGTAACATATAGTATTAGCGTCCTACGTTTACGCGTTTGCTAAGATTGAGTTTCCCAGCTTGCTTTTAGTTACCACTAAAGCTGGAAGAACCGAAGGCGTGCCGCTTACCGGCATAAGAAAAATAACCAAACACAGGTCTTATTAAGTCATTTGAGATTTTTGCCAGGTTGCTTCTCTAGCTCCGCTCAGCGATTGTTCGAGAGAACGTCTTCAGCCCTTACACAGGCAAGTGTTAACTGCAAGGTAGCAGCACGTGGAAACAGCTGTCGTTGGGTCCAAAGCCTACTCCATTCACTGTCTTCACGTATACTTCGTATTCAGGTTACAACTGGTATTTGGCCAACTTTCCAACACGGAAAACTAACTGACCTCCCTGTTTAAGGGCTCCAGTTACTCAGTGACTGGACTCTGGAATTATTTTGGCTGTCTTCCGAAACATATGCGAAATTCATCGGGATACATTGTACGGTTTCTATCGGAAACCTGACCTCAGGTGCGATGATAGGAGAAAAACTCGTAGTTCTCTCAGTTACCGAAATAGTTGTCAATTTTTATGGAAATTCCATACACTTGAGGCATTTGCTGTTCGCAGTGCCTTAAGAGTCAATGGAATTTCCGATCTACTGTTGTTTAGGGTCACAACTCCTACGTTGGTTCTCAGCTTGGTATCCAACCCCTGTGAGATATTGAAAGACAAAGTAGCTTGAGACAGGGCTTAATAGAGACAAAGAAATACTGCTAAAGGTGTATTTATAGTGAGCACAGACTTTTCGCCAAGGTCAGTCTGGAATCATCGTGATGAGTCAAAAGGTACAGAGGTAAATTGCCCGGCTATGAATGTCCCATATTCCGGGCAACCAGAGCATGCCTTCTTTCGATCCGTAGCCAGTTCGAGAGACGCCCGTCCAACCGACGAGAAGTTGGGTTATTTCCAGTGGCACTACTCCAAATATCTATGGGATGCATGCAGTCTCATTCCCCATTATAGTTATTCATCAAATACTGAAGATATTTTGACGGCTAGTATATCTATGTGTCACAGTTTTCTTTGTTATTCTGTATTTTGTGACAGACATCTTACAAAGACTGATTATCAAGCCCACCACTGTTTAAATGGATCGACAGTTCTCAGCATGAGTCCGCCTGCCTTAGCACTAAACCACACTGTATGATTCACTGTATGATTTGTCCCGCAGTAGTGCTTTACATTGTTCAATATTTCTGCTTATCTGAACCTTTGTGTAAACAAGTGTCACAAGCTCAACACAGAAAGAATCACCCAACGGTGCTCCTACAGTCAGCACACATACACATTTTGTGGCTTGCCATCTCCAAATTAGCTCTACTGGTATGTCGTTTTCTCCCGCATTGTTCTGCTCGCAAGAATTTCGCATCCATACGTCTCTACCCTCTGAAGTCTCATTTAGTCAACGTACAACCGGGTCCAACTTGACTGCCCACGCCCTGTATCCATCAGGGCGCTCATCTACCCACGGGCTTGCAAACCACTTGCACTACACCAAATCACTATCACCAAATCAGATGTCTTGAAGAATTCACACACCCTACCAAAATGAAACTTTGTATCATGTTACGGACGAAGTTCGGGGTCCCACTTTCTTCCCCTAGATTGCAAATATAAGGGTAAAACGCAGTATAGTTATTGAGTAGACAGATTCATCAACCTGATGGCTTTGCCCCTATTCGGAACAATTACAATCACTGTGCCATAAAGCTTAAAGCACCCGAGGGAACTGGAAGAAATCCGATAAATTTAAATGGCCCGAAAAGTTAGGAAAATCAAGAAACATGGCTGCCCTGCAGCGATTTTCATTGTGATTTTCATTCAGCTGGGCGAAAATCCATTATCAAGTGCATCACTGCGGCTTCCCAAACGAACGGGACTTCGGTGTCAGTCTGTTACTGGCTCCATCTAGGACCAATAAGGAAACAGCTTACTTATTTGATTCCGCTCTTCGGATCAACATACAAGCTGACTATCTTTCCACCAGCAGCACGTTACTTTTGAATTCTTTTCACTCCTCGGAGCTATAGTTAACCGTGCAAATATCCCAGGAGATTCTGACCGAAGAGTGTAATTACGTGAATTGACAATCGGAAGTGTTTGACTTTAAATTCTTCTTACACTGCTGATTGAAATCTGGGAGGATTCAGTCTACAAGGACGAGGGAGAGGAGGGTTCAGACTGATATTTTGTTTAGTTGACATCGTTTCCTGCAACCGTATACTGCAGGCTAAGCGACTGCTCAAGCGGAAAACACCTGCACCTGTTGAATTCAACAATTGTAAAGTTGTTCACGTTAAATTTTCTCGGGGGAGGGTTACATTCATCTGTACTGAGGCAACCGTTCTTACCTGGAGTTACCTTCCTAGAAAGCCTGAACTTTACAACGACTGGGCTCAAACGACATGGTACGACTTTTAGTAGAATTCAGCTCATTTAAGTGAGTCGTGATTTTCAGGTCAGTTGATAATGAGCTAGGCTGAAACGCCTGGGCCTCCTTCCGAATCGACCGTCATATTGATGCGACCACGTGACCCATTCAGTTAAGTGTAGACGAAGCAACCAAGCACGATTATGGCCACTTCATTGGCTGTATTATTTGCGATGAATACCAAAAAGATATCGGGTGAAATTCTCCGTGATGCCGAAGAAAGATACCACAAACGGGCCAAAGAACACTTCAAAAAATACCTTAAGGAGGAAAATGAAAAGATGAACAATGTAATATTGGATAATTTGCCTAGTGTGAACGGTTATCCTCTTTCCGCTTTCTTGAGCCGCATGCGAGGATACACACCCTTGATCAGACATGGAATGACCCCACTGGAAAAGATACTCGACGAGAAAATAGCGGACCTCAGCGACATGTCACAAACTTCCGAGGATGGATATAATAAACTCAAGGTATCGTCTCGAGAAAAGATTTGTGCTATAAGAACTATATGTAGGCTAGCGGTAGATGAAGATGATCGAGAAAGGATGGCGAATTGGTTAGCAAACAATGCAGGGCCGTTAAATGAAGCTGTCGCCGCTAGCTTGGCCACCGAATGTCGTGACCTCTTGCAGGAATTGAGTATCGGAATCTCGTTTCTGGCCCGACAATTTCGCTTTCGCTTATATGACAAATTGGAACTAGTGATAGCAGGGTTAGTGAGATCCATGGCCATAGTTCTGATCCCTTGGGAAATCTATGTGGAACAATTTCGCGACGCAAAAGAACATCATAATGACGTAGAACTGGCCAGGGGTCGACAATTGGTCTTCCATCATCCACGGATAGAATATCAGTTTCATGAGGCAAATCATCGAGTGCTTGGTTGCATTTATTACACTTTGGGAGATCTTTTATTCAGCTGTCCATCACCAAAGCTGATCCATTTCTTTGAGTGTCGAATATTTCGACGCAAGGAAATGACACGAAATTTTTTGTTCACCATTCTGAACGTTGTTGTGACTAATTTATCTGAGATTCAATCGGAGGCTGAACAACTTGCGAACGTTGAGAAACAGCCCAGTTCTGTAAGCATCATTGCTGGTCGGTCGGTCACACCGCTGATGAGTCGAAGACGTAAAATCTATTCGGAGGCACTGTGGAATGAGTTGCCAGCAAACCTATACGCGGACATTATCCGTGTCTATAATGATAGGAATCGAGCAAACAAGGTCTTGATCAGCGAGATTATGGCCGTACTCCGCTCGCACGCCCCAGATAAACTACCTATGTTCGAGGAAGCCACTCTGAAGGCATTGGAAATGTATACCGGTGGCGGAGGCGGTCGACTGACTGAAACCTACCAAATTGGTAGACAAACAGTCGGGCGTGATGGAGAAGGGACCCCAACAGGTATAGGAACATCCGGGGCTCAGCGACGTAAGAAATCAGTTGTGGGTGAAATCGCAACTGGCCCAGGGATAGAAAAAGCTGTTGGAGAAGCTGGAGGTCGGCGGAAGTCAAGCCGTTTCACACTGGTAGAGGTAGACCAAACCGATAAAACAGACAATCGAACCATAGACACATCTAGCTCAACATCGTCAGAGGTCAACTACAGTTCAGATTCCAGCAAGCAAGAGCAGAACATTTCCCGACGAACTTTAATTGTCCCCAAAATACCGGACTTGATTCCTTCAGGTCGAGGCCATCGCGTATAGCTAATCGTGGTTTCACACGTAACGACCAGCGGAAAAACTGAATGCGGTTACGAGCCATGCTGCGAAGTGTAATCATACGTGACACCTGTGTTCAAAGATCCCTGTGCCTGTTATCGGGTGTGATTTGCATCCGTAGCTGTAAGTTATTGGGGTGAGTTTTACCAACGTGAAACTAGCCAACAATTGGTTATTTCTTTTTCTTTGCTCAGTCGGATCCCGGAACCACTGGCTAATTTCATAGTTGTGAGAAGAATTGATATTGTTTTTGAGAGCTGCCAGAAGGAGCTACAACTTTTGTTGTTCCAGGGTTTTGGTATCGAAATAACGTTGCCCATTACAATAATAAGCCACTCTGAATACTCGTAAATAGGCATACCTCTATGCAACAAATAGTCGTCACTACAAAGGAGCTATACTGGGTTAGAAAATTGTGGCCGGATCTTGAGTCTCACCCACTGGCACTATGTGCTTATCGGGCTTCAATAGACTGGTATATAGAGCGTACTCTTGTTTCACCGGTATTCCAAAAGGGCATTGCCAATGCAACCCTGGATATGCTGTCTTTCTCTTCCTGCTATTCGGGAATGGGACCACCCTTCCTAAGCTCAACACCTTGTTTCAATTGAATCTTAATCCACCATACCTTAGATGCTCACAACTTTGACCCACACACGGACTAAAGTGGCTGCAGTATAGATACTTTAACGGTATATACGTACGGTTGAAGCGAGTAATGATATTGATAAACAAGGGTTCAAGACTCAGCAGTAGAAAAGGGACATATCGCAACTCTATATATTCTGTGTGACGTCATCAGAGTTTTTCGCCCGGTAGGATCGATTTGCCCAGACCATCATCACCAATAATCGCACCACTTATAGGTTTAGGTTGGGTCTAATGGGTTCTGCTATGTAGAGTCGGTTTGAATCAATAGTTGGTATAAAGAATACATACTTTCTTTAACAGATCAATAGTTGCACAAGGAGGGTTAGGTAGTGCATGACAGTGGCGCGGACGGGGCCGGTAACCGTTGCCATACGGTAACATAACGGACCCAAAGCCTGTCTTATGAAATTTGGCAATGCGGAAGATTCGCGGCTGAGCATTTACTCATATTGTCCGTATTTTCAAGCGTCATGATGACACAATAGTTTGTATAGAGACAACACAGTGCCGGCTATTCCACAATACCCTACTACCATGCATGTACGAATCTGACGAAATTGGCACGTGGATAAACCCGTTGCGCATTCTCGAAATGCGGAAGGCAATTAATGTACACAAAGTGGTAGACAAGTTCGAGTTAGAACCAACATCCCCAACTCGCATAGTGCTAAAACCAGTGAAACTAAGCAGGATGTTGACTCCGAAGTGCCTAGCTCGGATAAAAACGAGGTGAGACGTATAGGCAGTTTGGTAAGCAAGCGCTGGATTTATTGGCAGGCAGTGATTTACCCTTGACACGGTTTGTCAAGCGAAGGGGAAGTTACCGATTTGGTCGAGTTCAGTGGCGGGCGGACAGATAATCACCTAGACCTCTTTCGACTAATATACTAAATCAGCGTTGCTTGTCAGCTAAAAGTTCTTGCAGGCTATTGTGGGTTATCAGTTCTAAAAATCACCGGTTTAGGTGGCGAAATTGTCCAAATCTGGGCGTTGTTTTCCTACTTCATTTCACAGTGGACTAATCGCGATCGTGTAAAAGCTATAGGACGTGTGCCTACCGGTGAACAGCACGGTGGACAACTAACTTGGCCACCTGGACGTTAAGTCATCACTGAAAGTGACACCATTCTGGAACACCGGTGCCCCATGGCATTACAACCAAGCAAAGCTTCCTAATGAGGATAACAAAATTCGAGAGAAAGAAGTCAATTGCTAGCCTAGTACAAATATCCAAGACACCCGCACGTCCAACCAGTAAATCTGAATAGAAATGGACCACAAGGTTAGCAGACAGAACCAGCATCATCATCATCATCAT